GCAGGCGGGGGCCAGGCATAAGGCAGGCCTGCAGCTCACAGGGACACACAGGGAGGATTGGCAGGAGGGCTGGCAGCACCCCGAGGACTGGCAGGAGGGGGTCACACACAGGACAGGCCTGCAGTTCACAGGCACGCAGCAGGCAGCCTGGCAGGGGCTGGACACACAGCAGGCCGGCTGGCAGCACGAGGAGCAGCTGGTGTGGCACATGGTGGCTGAGATGGCTGTGGCTGGGAGGAGTTGGTGATGTCTGCAGCCTCCTCCCTGAGCAGCATTTATAGCCGGGTCCCAGGAGTCACAGCATGACAGAGCACACTGTTGTCTTCCTGGTTTGGCTTCCTCTCTTCTTTCCCAGCTTGTGTGGTGTGTTTGCTTCCGTTTTGGTGTGGCCCCAGCTTGTTGACTATCTGAACACTCTCAGTGCTCTTTTCCTCTTCCTTCACCTTCCTCCCTTGTCCAACCTCCCCACAGACGAGGAAAGAGCCAACCCCCAGATAGGCATATGATAAGGATGCCCAGCTTGCTGTAGACAGCATGCTGTGTCTGTCTCAGCCTCGGTGATCTCATTCCGATGTGTGCTCTGTGTTTCGAGTCTGTTGTTTACTGTTGCAGTCCAACATGGAGAGGAGATCAGCCTTGCCCAGTCCTTGGAGCCACACTCCTAAACCAGGTCCTCAACATCCTCCCTCAGCGAGGGAGTGGGCTTAGCTCCCCTCCAGCATCAGCCTCGCATGGCTGCCAAGCTGTGACAGAGACCATGGTCCCCAGTGACCTCGCGCTACAAGCCCTGCAGCATGGAGAGGACCTTTGGTAGCAGACAGGAATGGGCCGTGGACCACACATAACACAGGAAAGGTGTGATGGACAGGGGCACCTGCCCAGGTGAAGCACACAAGGAGACCTCCTCCTGCAGACTGTGGTCACCAGGTAGGGCAGAGAGTGGCTCCTGAGACTAAGGGGACACCCAACTGCCCCCTTCCTTGGCCCAGCTTTGCCTGGGGCCAGCACCCTCCACGCAGTATGGTGACAGGCGTGTGAGCAGACAACAGGCTCTGGTCTGCTGAGGGAGCTCAGAGCTCAGCAGGGGAAGCACTGGACCCAGAGCCCTGGGGGCCAGGGCTTGCTGACCTGGACAGTGGGTGGGTCACCGAGAGAGCCCTCAGCCCTCTGGGAGGGTGGCTGCACCTGCTCAGGGCAAGGCCACCGGGAGATGCCTACAAGACAGAGGGGGCTCCCGGATCCAGCTCAGACTGTGCCCAGGGAGTGAGGACCACAGCCAAGAGCGAGACCCCCACACTCCACTACCAACATCCACCAGGCCAGGATGAGGCTGCAAGGGGCATGGGTTGGGTGGGGGGTCCTACCAAGTCACAGAGCTTAGGAGACAGGCTGGGTTTGCCACACCTGCACCCACAGGGGACACCCAAGCCCACCAGGTTCCAAGCAATCAACCTGTACTGGCCTGTGCTAGAACAGACATCAGTAGTCATTTTAGAACCTAGAGGCTAAACGTATTATTGTAATTTCCAATAAATAACCAAAGTCAACTAACATTAAAATGTACTTATAAAAATGTAATTCATTATTCTCAAAAAAAGTCAATCAAAAATAAAACTTGCATGTAGGGCCGGGGATTTAGCTCAGTGGTTCCACTGCCTGCCTTGCAAGCGCAAGGACCGGAGTTCAATACCCTGAGTTCAATCCCCGGTACCAAAAAATAAATAAATAAATAAAATAATAATAATAAAACTTTTCCCATTGACATGGGAAATCAACAACTTTAAGCAGCTATTCCAGTATATTCGAAGAGCAAAGAGATGTGTTCAAAGAATTAAAGGAAAGTATTGTTCTAATGAGTGTTTAGGCAGGAAATCTCCCCAGGGAAAGAGAAAATGTAAATGTAAATGAAAAGTACAATGCCTGAAATGTAGATACACACTGGATGGGCTGAACAGCAGGTGGAAGATGGGAGAAAACCCAGGAAATGTGAAGACACAGCGAGAGACATCATCCAGCAGAACAGAGGAGCAGAACAGAAGGAGGAGAATTTAGAAAAGTAGTGCAAATGGTGTGAGCTGATGGCAAACTGCCCCACATCTGTGTGATATCAAACTCTGTTGTAGAAGAGAACGACACTGAAGCACATGAATGTATGAAGAAATAATGGACATAATTTCCTAAATTTTACTACAAAATATAAACTTGAGAGATCCCAGAATCTCAGAAATCCCCAAAGAAGTACTCTTGAAGAAAACCATATCTGGGTACATAATAGAGAAAATGATGAAAACCAAAATAAACCAAACCTTGGAGGCAGTGTAATAAGAGACCAGAAGGCACAGGGACAGGAAGGCTGCAGTGCCAAGATGTGAGGAAGGACACTCACACCATGGCCCACTGTGTCCCCAGGGGAATGGTGTCCTCCAGTTTCACACTTGCACCCAGCTCTGTCTGACATGCCTCTGCACAGCCAGGCTGAGGGGACCTTGCGTTTGAGGGAAACTCAGCCCATTGGCACGAGCTTTCCTGGGCTCCCCTTCAAAGGGGCTGCCTGGGACATGCAGCGCCACCTCTGTCCCACTGTGACAATACAAAGCCCACAGTGGCTCTAGGGGCCCAATGAAGCTATGTCACCAATCTACCAATGGCCTTCACCCATCCTCCTGACTTGGGACTTCAGGACCTGTTTCTACTGCCCCTCTAATACTCGCCCCTCTAATAATCTGTCAGCACAGAGAAGAGCGAGGGTTCCAGAGGGAGACAGAGTAGCTTCCAGTTCCTGCTCCTGAATGTCCAGTGGCACAGTGACTCATGTGTCTGGGGAACAACACCATGAAATGCTTGTCACTGGGCCTGATGTAAACCAGAGCTCTGTGAGGGTCGCTACATCAGGAACCATTATTAATCCACCATGAGGAGCCCACAACATGGTGCTCTGGGCTGGGGAGTTGTCATAGAAGGCAGCGTTTCTAGATCTCAATGCAGTGAGAACGCTGAGCTTGTGTGGACACTGGACAAGGTCTTTACAACAGGAGACCTTAGGAACATACAAGGTGGGCTCCTGCCCTCAACTGCAGCCCTACCCATCCAACAAGGCCCTGAGCACTCAGCCTGCTGGGCCACCAGGAGCCCCAGCTAAGAGAGGCATCTGAGACTGAGTGACCCGCCAGGAAGCCCAAGGGGAACTGGGCATCATGCCAAATGCATCGCAGCCTCCTTCCCAAATAAACAGAGGTGGTTAGGCCCTGGAAGAGAGCCAGAGGTCCATTGTTAGCCCAGAATGCATTACTAAGAAGACATCAACTAAACAGGGTCTCCAGGCCAGGCATGGTGGCATACGCCTGTGATCCCAGCACTCAGGAGGCTGAGGCAGGAGGATCGCTGTGTGTTCGATGCCAGCTGGGGTCTATAGTGAGTTCAGGGCCAGCTTGAACTACAGAGGGAGACCCTGCCTCAAAAAACCAAAAAAAAAAAAAGGTCTCCAAACCAGCAACAAATCCTTCCACTATAATCAATCCACATGAGAAGACAAGGTAACAAAATGCCTCCCAGAACGCCCAACTCCCCCAGAGCTGATCCATGCATCATCAACAGGGGAAAAACATCAAAATCCACAAAGGCAAATTGTTTGAAAAGATAACAGAGGAGATTAAATAAAGCCAGATCAATAAGGGGCTCAGCTGGTTCAAAGAAGATATAGGTAAACAAATAACAGACTCAAACAAAGTGAAGAGCAAGTTTATGAAGGTACTTATAAAAAACTAGCTGAGCCAAGCAGAACAATACAAAGCAAGGATGGCCAGTTTAGCAGAGAATTAGAGTCCATGAGAAGCTACCAAACAGAACTCCAGGAGATCAACAATTCTACTGAGAGTATGGGCAGCGGAAGTAACTGATGGAAGGACAGAGTGTCAGAACTAGAAGACGGCTGCTGTCAGAGACCAGAGGCACCTTAAATATAACAAGACAACATGCAAATGTATGTAAAAGCTGCCAGAGGCTGCAAAGAAGACTGACCTAAGATTAATTGGAATTAGAAATAATAGCAGAAAACTTCCCAGATATGGGGAAAGAATTTAACATACAGACAAGAGAAGCATATAAAACCCCAAATAGCCACAATCAGAAAAGAACCTCTCTGGCCAGGGATTTAGCTCAGTGGTTTGGCTGCCAGCCTCGCAAGCTCAAGGTCCCAAGCTTGATCCTCAGTACCAAAAAAAAAAGAGTAATTGTGTGTACCAATGCCTCAAGATGACTGCATGTACTGCAAACATGAAATAATAAAATAAAATTTAAATCTAAGAAAGAGCAATTGTGTAATGTTTAAAAAAAGAAAGAAAAGAACCTCTCCACAACACATCCTACTCAAAATCCCAGACATCCAGCACAAGGACAGAAAACCCATTAGAATCAAAGCAGACTTCTCAACACAAACCTTAAAGGCCAGGAGGGTTTGGAATGAAGTGTTTCCAGCCCTAAAGGAAAACAACTTCCAACCCAAACTGATATTTCCTGCAAAATTATCTTTCAAAATTAATGGAGAAATAAGGTCTTTCTATGACAAACAGCACCTAAAAAATTAATGACCACCAAACCAACACTCCAAAAAATTCTCAAGGATATCTTAGAAAGAACAATGAAGCTAACTGTGTCAAAAGTTCTAATAGAATGAATATATCGGTCAGGGTGAGCAATTAAGTAGAATGGGAAAAAGTATGGAGATTCCTCAAAAACCTAAAACTAGAAATTCCATTTGACCCAGCTATTCCCCTTCTAGGTATCTTCCTGAAAGAGTTAAAGACATCATATTACAGTGATCTATGCACATCCAAGTTTATAGCAGCAGAATTTATAATAGCTAAATCTTGGAAGCACCCTACATGTCTGTCAACCGATGAATGGATAAAGGAAATACGGTATTATACACAATGGAGTACTAATCCGTCATGAAGAAGGATAGATTTGAGTCATTTTAGGATAATGGATGCACCTGAGATGATAACATTAAGTAAAATAAAACAGAAACATAGTTTACGTATTGTGTGACTTCTCTGACATGACCAACCCAGAACAGAAATAAAGCAGCAATAAATATATGAAAAAGTGTTCAACATCATTCTGGTCATTCGAGAGATGCAGATGAAAACAACACTGAGATTCCACCTCACCCCACAAAGAATGGCTATTATAAAGAAATCATCCAGGAGTATGAGGAGGTGCATCCCCAGGGTGGGCATATGTTAAGATACTGCCAAGAGAGCTGCATGTGTGGTACATGTTTTTAAAATGATCACTAGCTATTATTCGACAGCTTGGTACCAACATACCTTTTCTATGGAAAGTGTAAGTTAAACAACAAAACCTCCACCCCATTGCAGTAGTCCTTAGTTAGGGGTACAGAATGGTGAAGAGCCTTGATGGAGTAGACACAGGGATCTACAGATGCACATCCTCACTCTTCCACCAAATGTACAACTATCACACATAAGTGATTAAAATAGAATCCTCCTAAGGGGGACATTAAGAGGCTTCTGTGGCCCTGGGGAACTGTTTTTTATGAAAGCTCATTGCATACTGTGTTCAGTTTGTAAAAAGTAATTGAGCTGCACATTTTGGTATGTGAACTTTTCCGTATTTGTAATACATTTAAATACGAAATTTTTAAAAAAGAGAAATCATCCAATAACAAATGCTGGCGGGGGTGTGGGGAGAAAGGAACCCTTCTCCATTGTTGGTGGGAGTGCAGACTGGTGCAGCCACTGTGGAAATCAGTGTGGAGATACCTCAAAGAGCTAGGACTAGAGGTCCCATTTGACCCAGCTGTTCCCCTGCTGGGTATCTTCCCAAAAGAATTAAAAGCATCATACCACAGGGATATATGCGCACCCATGTTTATAGCGGCACAGTTTGTAATAGCAAAAGCTTGGAAGCAGCCCAAGTGCCCATCAACTGGAAGCTGGATAAAGATGTGGGTTTTTTTAATAAAATGGAGTACTACTGAGCCTTAAAGAACCAGAAACTAGAGACATTTATAGCTAAATGGATGCACATTGAGGCCATCCTCTTAAGTGAAATAGGACACACATGTGTAAATACCAAATAGTTTAATGTGAGAAACTGAGAGTGTAATTTAGAATACACACGGATGAAATTGCCTAATAACATATTTCTTGGATTGTGTTTCCATCGCATGTCATATAACTGTATCGAAATTTAAATTAGGGAGAAGCTTGGCTTATGTGGAGTCTGCTAGCTACCTAGACTTTTTTTCCAGACCACTATTTGTTCAGTGTTGGTTTTGGGGATCTTTCTGAAACAAATCACATCCTCTGGTGTCTTGTTGGTGCTTGAGATGCTTTTTTAAGTTATATGGAAAAATGTTTAAGTGCTTTTCAGTTTTGTTTTGGTTGAGTTCTGCTGTATTTGAATATTATTGTAGTTTTTTTCCCTTGTATTGTTCTTCTCTGAATGGTTTTAATTTCTGTATGTGTGTGTGTTTGATAATAAAATTATTTTAAAAAAATTCCACAGGCTTGTTTTTTTAAAAAAGGAATTAAGATGAACAGG